TAGGCACAAAGTCATGATTTTGGGCCAGTCTCTCTCTCTCTCTCAATGCTAGGAAGCAGGCAAGAGCAAACCACTTCTGGAAATCTTGCAAAGAAAGCTGCAGGGACTAGTCCAGGCTGTCATCAGAATTCAAGATTGACTTGAAGGCTAATAATATAAATCCTTGGGGAAAAAAGCATAATGTAAAAATGGCCACTTTGTCATGAAAAAAAGTGTGAGTTATAACTGAAAATATATATGAGACTTTTTTCTATGCAACTATATATTTATTCACTCCACTGGCTTCCCCCTTTGTATAAGTCACTGAAATCCTACCTTGTGTAAGCTGAGGAGAAACAAGGGAGTGGCTGTACCTGTAATGCATTATAGACTGGACATACTTTAATAACTCTTAATATTTCCCATTCGTGCTGTTGCACAATTTCCCTTGAGAATCTAAATAATCCTAATGTTATAAATCCCACATAGCCAATCTCTCTCCTGTCTCCCCTTTAGGCACATGCCCAAGGTCCTCCCACCAGCTTTGATCAACAGTTCAGAAATGATTGCGACCATGTGTCTTATTCCACAGCTATAGGAAAGGTGTATGGGGGGAGGAGTGTTATTAAGGGAAAACATGCACACAACACTCAGTAGGACTCCTTTCCTTTTTTTTCTTAAGTGCTAATTAGAGAAGGAGCTTAAAAACTTTTAGCAAGTTGCTTGGCTTTGTGAAAATAGGACGTTCACTATCCATGCTTTCATTTTCTCAGTCATTCATCCAGTCATTCCCCCAGCTCTTGCAGAGTTGGCCAAACATTTAGTCCAAGAGTATGGGGGCTCTATTAGACAGAGGGGCTCCACTAAGATCTTTTGTTTCAGGTCTTTTATAATCTGCTGGTTGCTAGGCTAAACTGCTTTGTGCAACACTGATTTATAAGCTTTCATTTAAATGTTTATTTACACATTCTTTTGCAGTCTTTCTCCCCCACTTCCCTTTGGTATACCAGATATATGATAACAGGTGGATGTGCCTATCTTGCTTTCAGATAATGACATCTTGGCTCTCTTTTCTTCTGTTGAGCTGGCTCCAACTCATTTGAAGAGTAAAAATTCTTATTTTTATTGCAATGCATAGCATGTCTAAGAACAATTTCTCATAATCAGGTGTTTTCAAAATGAAAAGGGAAGCAATCAAAGCTCATAGAAACATGAAGAGCAGTTAGATTTACTTTGTAATAAGGGAAAATTAAGATGTGTGTGTGTGTGTGTTTTAAATAAAAACCTTGCATTTTCCCACAGCAAAATGGGATTCTTTGCACCAAGCCAGTTGCATTTTTAGGTAATACAATTCCCAAGAACATTATGGACTAAGCTATGCAGGTGATAGGCTGCAAAGAATCTTGTGTTTCTGTGAACAGTCACAAGGCTTTCTTCAAGTGTCAACAAAAGTACTTTCATAATTAAACTAAGCTCAAAGATGTTTACAGTCTTTTAAGAAAACAGTTGATGCTTTGCCTTTTTTTGAGGGCCAAAATGCTGATTGAAATGTGTAGGACAGAAAAGTCTTGAGTAACTTGAGTTTTGTGTGAATATTGTAAATAAATTTCATTACTACAAATGAAATCATGTAAGCCAAGAGAGAGCAAAGGAGAGAGAAAGAAAAGTCTTGCTAGGATTTAATATTTGGAAGGTGTTCTTAAAAAATACAGGTACCCATTCATTCTGTCAGTGTAATCTATAGGTGATCATTTTGTGATTATGGCCTGTAATTCAAGGTGGGAATTTCCCCTTCTTTTTATCTAGCTTTATGTACCATTGATTTTTTTTTTTTTTCTGGAAAAAGTTCCCAGTGTGTAGATGTTCAGTTCTCTGCTCTTAAAAGAATGGATGGATAGAAGAATCTGACATAATGAATTGAGTTGGAAAGGTTGTTTGTACAACAGCATCCTATGTAGATTGGCATAGATATGAGTTCTTTACTGGTACAAGTGGTATGAACTTTTGTGTTTGTGTGTAGTTACATCAACACTATATAAGTAATTCTTTATTAGATAAGCTATTGTTTGATGGCTTTTATTTTATACTTTCATAGCATTGATGGATTATTTATTTATTTATTTATTTATTTTAGCCAAATGTGGTGGTACACTGACAAATATGGCTGGTGTGATCCTGAGCCCAGGTTTCCCAGGAAATTATCCTAGTAATCTAGGCTGCACATGGAAGATATTGTTGCCTATTGGATATGGTAAGATTCCTGATGCAAGGACAATAAAAAGTTCTTTTTATTTATGCACTGGAACCTGAGTTCCAAAGTCATGCTTATTTTTTTTTTAATTCCATACACTAGCCTGACACATGTATAAAAAAATGAATAAATAAATCTAGTAAGAGTAATTATATTAAAATCTCTTTTTGATGTGCTGCCTTATTCAATGAACATTTGAATAGTTAAATGTTAGTTGAAATGTTAAATAACATTTAACATTTCAGTTAGTTGAAATGTTAAATAACAATTGTAGACCTCACCTTTTTCTCCTGTTCTTGATCCATTACTGCTGATGCAGGCTTCCTCTACTCTTGATTCTCCAGCTGCTTTCCCTGGTATGGGTGTCTTAAATACAGTTCCCAATATTAGGTGCAAAGAAGAACTGGCACAGGCTCCACTTGGTAATATCTTTGGGAACATTATTTATGCAATTACTCGGCCTTATTCTGAGTCGTTTTAATTGACATGAAGGCATAAAATAAAACAATACCTAATTCAATTAGGTGTGTCCTTTCCCAGTCCTCTAAAAAGACTCCAGGTCACTTACATGCATTTCTTTCCTTTTTCTTTCAGTGTGTCTACAGAAAGTTTTTGCATTATTCATGAAGGGTACATAATAATGCCATATTTTAATATCATAAGCTAGACTGAAAGTCCTAAGCTGTTTCAATCAAAATAATATCATGAAGAGCTTGAACTTGTTTAAACTTTTGTGAATTCATTAGCAAATGTGGTTATTTATCTTGGAATAAATAATAATGAGAAGAATAAGAATAAGAATAAGAATAGTGAGATGGCTATGGGTATATGTTCCACAAATGAAGAAAAAATGCCTAAAATAAAATAGAAACTATATATTTTTTACAGGTGCTAGATTGTGAGATGTAGCTAATTAGTTGCTCATTTAGGTCAATATTCATTTACTTTTCTATACTAACAGCTTTCTTTCATTATATGGATTTATGTAATGTAATATACTAAGAAAAGATAATATTTTACAGTAAAGAAATTAGTTAAGTTAATCAGTTTGGCTGAAATAAATCTTATTATGATACTATGTTCTTAATCATGAATTTTGTGTAATTGTGATGTCTTGTTGTAGTTTAGAAATCTGTAGTTTTGACACGAATTATCTCCTGAATAATCAAAAGATTACTTGGTATAGTTACAAAAATATTCTACGTTGCAAGATGAATTTCTGTTGCTCTGTATTCCAAAATTATTTTCCTTTTGATAATAAGGTAGGTTCCAACTTACAAAAGACACGGATTCTAATATATTTTTTATGAATGCTACATAGCTCAGTTCATAAAACAGAGATTATCCAGTTCTCCTTTGTTTCTGTGCCACTTGAAAATTTACGCCTTCCCTTTGGGGACCTTCCAGAATATTATGAAATATGGTACAGTGGGCCAAAGAGAATTCAAGGTCTCTCCATCAACTGCTTACAGAAGTCTTTGGTTCATGCAGCTATGTAATCTCTGGTCACCTTTTTTTACAAAAAACATTATTATTATGGAGTCCTTGGTGTTCTTTGAGCTTAGTTGTTTGATTGCAGACGTTTTATTACCTGACTAGGTAGCATCATCAGTGCACTGATGAAGTTATGTAGTCGGGTAATTAGGCATCTGCAATCAAACAACCAAGCTCAGAGAGCACCAAGGACTCCACAGTTCAACCCTAAGCTACATACATTCTCTTCTATTGGTACTGTATAATTATTTTTTAAAATGTTATATTGATTATGGATATAGATTTAGGAAGGAGGGCAACTTCCCCACACTCCTTCTTTCCTGAGCAACCTTAGATCTTTTTGAATAGAATACCTTATGACATGGGAGGTATTTACATGGAAAAGGGATTTCCAAAAATTGGTCAGAATGTAGAATCCAGAAATGTGCAACTCCCCCCCCCCAAATTTTTTTTTTTTCAAAAGTCAAATGAGTGCAGCATGTTGAGGCTGAGACATAACTGCAGTTTAGGGAATATATATATTGATTGTAATTTCCCAATCTGCAGAATCTTCCGCAGCCCACCCATATTGCCTATCTTCTCTAAAAAGATGGAAGCAACATCACACCCCTGATTCATTAGGCAGAAAAGTCTACCCTGGATACATAATATTTCTGTTATTGTAGAATCTGAAATGTCAGGTGTAATTTATGTGCATTAAAGATGAGTCTTATAACATGGCTATTCCTAGGTGTAAAACTTAATAGACATCCTGCTGAGATTATATCTTGCTAAATTCAACTTCTTTAAATATAATATAATATCACTATTTTAGCAACCCAGCTTTGCTTACATTCTATAAAAGAAATACATTCTGTTTTCTGTACTGTTATTGTTATGGGCCGAATAGTGCTCCCACATGTGTTTCTTTTAATCAGAATATATGAATCTAGTATAATTTTAGTCAACTTGGAGAGAAAAAAATGGTTATAGTATTGAAATAACGAATAATAAATTTTAAAAAGTTTGTAGAAAGGGGGATGATAACTGTAAGGTATATAATCCTTCATTTATGCTAATCATAGAGTCATATGCTAACTGACTCTTGATAACCTCTGCTTTCTCTGTAATATGGATCTAATAATATTAATATTATTAATAATATTAACCTATTATTAAGATTTTAGGTTTATTAAAGCAAATATGTGAATTAGGAAACAAACAGTAAAGAAATATTATTCATAAATAGTTAATATTGAATCTACCTCTACTTATATTATTTTTTACTTTAACTGACTAAGTTTCTTGTTAACTAGGGATACAAACTGGAATATAAAAATCTAGATTGGGTAATGGGGTTTGCTTACCTAGTTGCTGCTGCTTAATTAAAAAAAAATACAATATACTAAACTTTCATTTATTTTATTATTTTTGCTGTCTAGGGGCACATATACAATTTCTGAACTTTTCCACTGAAGCTAATCATGACTTCCTTGAAATTCAGAATGGGCCTTATCACACCAGTTCTATGATTGGCCAGTTCAGTGGTACAGATCTCCCACCATCTTTATTAAGTACCACACATGAAACTCTCATCCACTTTTATAGTGATCACTCAGAAAATAGACATGGATTTAAATTTGCATATCAAGGTAAGCAATGAATGACATAAACAGATACAGTAATTGAAGGAATGCCTTCTCCTGACAAGATTTTTTCATTCCATCTTTTTAAAAAAAACGCTGGAATGTATATGCATTTTTATTTTTTTCTTGTGCTTGCTGGTTTTTATTTGAATTTTTTTTAAATTTGGCTTTTAAATGTTATTTGTTCTGAGAGTTTTTTCCCATCCCTGAAAAACAACAGTCTGACTTTCTAAATAAATTAAGATAACTTATTGTTCAAAAAAGCCGTTCAAATATGTTGTCAATATTATGTTAGTTATTATATTTTTCAGTAGTTTCAGTTCTGGAAATATATGAGTTGGTTCTTTTGATTGTATAAATAAGGACCATTAACTGCAGAGGTAATTTACAGGGCAATCTATACATATTTTCTCACAATTTTATCAGACATAATTCTGGAGTAAGGAATTATAGATTTTCAGGCTATAGCTAATGTTTCTATGAATGTCGTACTTTTCAAAGGATGAGGGTATGGGGGAAAATGTATGAAAATAAAGGTAATAAATATTAATGAAATCAAGTCAACAATCCAAAGTTTTATCTAGTTTTTGAGGTATTCACAAACTTCTCCATTCAACCCTTTGCATATGTAAATGGGACAATTAATGGAATGATCAGTCAGCATGCTAATGCTCCTCTGGAGGCATGGAATATGTAGATCAGGATAATCATTTACTATAGTATACTGTAGGGACCTTGTACTAGCCATTTTAGGGTGGATTGCTTTCAAGTGGAACGCATCGTGACTTGAGAGGACTTTGTGAGGATTTTGATTGGGAATTGCACTGGTTATCAAGTAGGAAATGGCTGTGAATTGTGGACAGTGGTTCTGCTTACGTTTCCACAGGTGAGAGCAGGCAGGGGGGCTTTGGATCATTGAGATTGTGAATATCTGGTTGCCTAACTAGCAGTGAGAAGGGACTGGGTGAAGGCATTATGTGATGGTATATGGGAGTCAGGGGGTCCCTGGTTAGCTGGAGGTGCTGAAAGCTCTGCAGAAGTGCCTCTGGTCTTAAGAGGCCCTTGGTTGCTTGATTGTTAGTTGTGTGAGTAAGATGGGGTTATGAGCCTGGGCATGGACCAATGTGGGCAGGGGAGGGGAGAAGCCTCTGGAGGGAAGAGGGTGGGCTACAATATCTCAGTAGTGACAGATAGGGGGAGATATGATGAGAGACAGGGAGCAGGCCACTCTCAGAGACCACACCACAGGTATATTGTTCCTGTTACACATTCTAGCCCCCAGTCTCACTCCTGGGCCCTAGCTGGCAGATCTTCAAGGCCCTGGGCTGTCAGCTGCTGCTGCTGAATGCCAGGTCAGTCCGTAATAAGGCTACTCTCATCCATGATTTGATTCTGGATGAGAAAGCTAACATGGCATCTGTTACCAAAACCTGACTATGGCCAGAGGGATGGGGGGTTCGCCTTTCTGAGATGTGCCCAGCTGGGTTTTGGGTGTAGCATTGCCCAAAATCCCAGGGTAGGGGTGGTGGTGCGGTGGTGATCATCCAAGAGACCTAGGAGGCATCCAGGGGCACTGCCCCACAGATTGCCAGATGTGAGATCCTATTTATTAAGTTGGGCTCTATGGATAAGTTGGGACCATTGCTGCTGTACCAGCCTCCCTGTTATACTGAGCTCCTGGACTCCATGGCCAGATTGGTGGTGGAGTTCCCTAGGCTTACGGTCTTGGAGGACTTCACTTCCCTAGGGGTGGGGTGTGAGCTACCTTGGAATTTCATGGACACCATGACAGCCATGGGCCTGTCCCAAGTTATCCAGGGCTGATGCATAATAATGATCATATGCCTGACTTGGTTTTTCTGTGGGAGCAGTGGCAAGGTGTTCTGAATTTGGGGGAGATATTGGTTTCTCCCCTGTCATGGTCAAATCACTCCCTGGTGAGTCTCCCATTCTCTGGCTTCACCCCCCTCTGCAGGGAGACTCGACCTATTAGATTGGTCCACCCCAGGTGACTGATAGACCCGATTGGGTTCCAGAGGGAGCTTGGGGTTGTTCTACAAAGTCTGCTATACAGTCTGGCTGAAGCCTTGGTGGCCACCTGGAATTGGAAGGCAGCTGAGGCTTTGGATCAGATCATGCCTGAGCAGCCTCTCTGTGCCCATGAAGCAGGTGAAAACGCAGCTAGAGCACCACTGGCAGACCACAAGGAGCGAACCCAACCAAACGCGAGCTAGAGCTGCTGTTAAAGCTTACCTTCTCGTGGTAAAGACAGCAAAATGTATTTATTTTTCTGCCTTTATTGCATCTGCAGAGAGCCACCCAGCAGCCCTATTTTGGTTCACCTGGACCCTCCTTGGGGAGAGTATTTCCAAGGTTTACCTATAGGGTTGCTGTGAGGAATATGTTAGGCATCTGATGGATAAGGTCACTTGGATTCACTCTGCATTGTACACTAGCCTTGAAGCAGGGCCAATGGAGGTTATAGGGGCTAAGTTCTGCAATGTTATCTGGGAAGAGATTACCTGTTACCTGTTAAGCCTGAGGAAGTGCACAGGGTACTTGTTGTTGTTAGTTCAGCCACATCTGTATTAGATACATGCTCTTCCTGGCTGGTCAAGGCTGTCTAGGAGGGGATGTGTGTTTGGGTCCAGGTGGTGGTTAATTCTTCTTTGAAGGAGGAGGTGGTTCTTCCAGCTATTAAAGAAGCAGTGGTGCACTCCCTGCTCATGGGACCATCACTCGACCCAACCAGTCTGGACAGTTTTTGTCCAGTTTCCAATCTTCCCTTTCTAAAGAAACAGATTATCTAGACCCTGAAAGGATTCAGGATTCAGGCCAGGGTATAGGATTGAGACAGCATTGATCATCTGGGATGACCTCTGGTGGGAAAGGGATGGGGGTAGTGCACCGATCCTAGCTCTTATTGACCTCTATGTAGCTTTTGATACCATCGATCATGGTATCCTTCTGAACCGCGTCTGGGAGTTGGGGGTGGGCGGCAACCTCTTTGTGTTGGTTCTCCTTCCTCCCTGGCCAGTTCCAGTCAGTGTTAATAGGAGGAGCCACAGTCTGCAGCCCCTATTTTGGGCTCAGTTCTTTCTCCCCTCCTGTTTAACATCTACATGAGGCCTCTGGGTAAGGTCATCTGGCAGTCTGGGATGAGGTATTGCCTATATGCTGATGATACCCAGCTTTATATCTCTACCCCAGGCTTCCTGAATGATGCTGTAGACATCCTGTCCCAGTGTCCGGAGGCTGTGGGGGCTTGGATGGGGCACAACAGGCTTTAGCTCAACCCAAGCAAGACTGAGTGGCTTTGGGTGTTTGGACCTTCTGGTGCTGGAAACTTTCCATTGTTGGTTGTGGATGAGGTGGCATTGCCTCAGAGAGAACCAGTGCACAATTTGGGGGTCCTCCTGGACTCACAGCTTCTGCTTGAAGAGCAGGTGGCAGCCATGGCTAGGAAGCCTTTGCACACCTTCAGGTTGTGTTCCAGTTGTGCCCATTCCTGGACCAGGAGGCCGTGCTCACTGTCACTCATGTCCTCATAACCTCCCGACCCTCCCGACCATTGCAATGCACTCTACATGGGGCTGTCCTTGAAAAGCATTTGGAAGCTTCAACTGGTGCAGAATGTGGCAGCACGGGTAGTAAATGGTGCCAATTATTCAGTGCATGTAACATCTCTACTCTGTGAGCTGCATTGGTTGCCCGTGTGCTTCTGGGTGCAATTCAAAGTACTGGTTGTCACCTTTCAAGCCCTTCATGGCTTGGGACAAGGTTACTTGAGGGACTGTCTCTCCCTGGTTGTTTCTACCCATCTGATCTGGTCAGGCAGGATGGGCATGCTTTGGGTCCCCTCGGCTAAGGAATGCTGGTTGGCAGGGCCTAGAAGACTTCTGCCATAGTGCCCACCTTGGAAATTCTCCCTCTGGAGATCAGGATGGCCCTGACCTTGCTGGCTTTTCATAAGTCCTTAAAGACCTCACTCTGTGTCTGGCCCAGGGCCCCAGGTGTGTGCAGGGACCCGTTTCATGGTTAATTTACTCATTATGAGGGGTGCTTTATTCTTGGCTGCTATGTGTTTTACTGTTTGTATTATTTTAATGTTTTTTTCTTTTAAATTTTGTTCACTGCCCAGAGCCACTTGGTGAGATGGGTGGCCATGCAAATGAAATTAAATTAAATTATGCACACACATACTTCCAGTCTACCCTTCTGAAAAGGCAGAAGACAAAAGTGAGACAATCTCTCTGTCTTTCTCCCCTCCAAATTCTTCCCTCTAACTCCTATCCTCAAAAGAGCTTTAATGCTAATTTTATTTTAATACTAAAACTCAGTTAAAGCAGCCAGATCACTTCACCCAAGTCAGTAGCAGCAGGTACATGATCACTCCTTGCTGTTTTATTAGTAGGCTAGAAAATGTGTTGAAAAAAAAAATCACAAAACTCAGGACAAAAGTCCAGTGTAATCTCTCATAATGATTGAGTTACGACCTCAAAACAAAATTCTTGAAAAACATTCAAATTGGCCTCACACTTTTCATTTTAAGATATCAGCTCATAGCATTGCTCACATGGATAGCCGCCACTGTTAAACACCTCTGCATGTATATGAAAACATAACTGGTAACACAGCAACCACATTTAATTTCACTGATTTATGCATAAAGAGACCTTCCTTTATCAGTATTTGTGATTTGACACTGCTGTATCAGGACAACGATCCAAATATCCAGCATCTTGCTTCCCTTAGGTGCTTCTAGGAAATCCACAAACACAGTGTGGCCCAGGATTGTCTCCCAGCATTTGGTGTCATATTGCTTTTGAATCAGGAGCTTCCCTGGAGCCATTGTTATTAGATGTCAACTAAGCTGGTGATAATCACATTTGGGCAGACCCAGCACACAGTCTGAGAATGACTGAACTAGAATAACATAGAATTTGATGATCCTTTATTGCCAGGCATACCAACAGGGGTTGTCAATAAATACCTATTGGAGAGCTTTCATGATGGGACATCAACAGAATTAGCAGTCAGGTGATAAGTGCTTCACTATGGCACTTTAAGGAATGCAGCAAAACCTAGAAAAAGGCTTTGGTTCAATATGTGAATGGTTTGTATTGTACTGCAAGCCTATATAACATTTGATTTGTAAGTTGAACGGTGAGTCATCAAGCTCTGATCGTAATTTATACTGTACATTACAGGCCTAATTAACAAGTCATAATGCTATCCATAAAACATGCCACTTTTTTTTTGTTACTACTCTGACTTATAAGACGTATCATTCCAGTGATTTATATTCCAAATCTTCAATTTATATATCTTTATAGGGATCAAAACTGTGGTTGTATGTCTGATACGTCTGTACTCACAGCTTCGCTAGATAAAAATCTGAATGTATGTGGAATGATAACATTAAGCTAAATATTGAAACAGAGGCTTATTGTTCTAAAATACGAACAGTCACTGGGAGGATGGCTGCAAGTGAAAGCCCACTCTGAACTTGTAAACGCAGTTCTGAACCCCATGAACAAAAATTTATCCCTGATGATTGGCAGGCCTGGCAGGAATATGGCAGTAGGAGCAGGCCAGCCTAAGCAACCATGCTCTCCTCTCCTCAGGGATTATGAATATTTGAAGGAAACACCCACAGTCATAAATTCAGTCATGTGTTTGCATGTTGCTTGTAGAAGTTTTACTTCAGGCTCACTAATTCTGCTTCTACTTATTGGACAAATATTATAGATAAGAAAATATATGATCAAAACTGCAAATCATTAGGCTATTTTTAAATGAGTTTAATATTGTGTATGAATCTATCCTGAAGTTTGGAGGCAAATGATTGGTATGTTAACTTCATTATTGCTATACTGCTGTTACCCTTCAAGCCTTTTTTTAAAAAAACATCCTCTCTCACCCCTATGAGTGGCATGTGTCTTCCTCAATCTCGGGTCCTCTACCAGAGGTCTGGAAGTTTGAGGGTTCTGTGCAGTATCTGAGCTGTTCCTAGCCCTGCACTCTTCTGGACAGAGAGCTCTGATGTTGTTCCTGGGATCTGTTGGAGTCAGTCTCCTAGCTAAGGAGTCACAGCCCCGAGTACTCCTACCACCACTGGGATCACTTTGGCCTTTACTTTCCACATCCTCTCTAGTCAGGCCCTGGTAC